TGGGTAGCACCTGCCCCTGCCCCCTCACTGCACGGGGCATTGATCTGCCCACCCTCGCCCCTTCCACCACAACGGACTTATTAGCTGGAGGCAGCTCTTCAAGCTGCTGGGCTGTGCTCCTTGCTGCCTGAGTTACAGCCCCAAATACTTTCCTTTGCTGGATGACAATTGCTGAACAAGGTAGGTATCTATTTGACATAAGGGCTATTCTAAACGGCACTGCCACCTCTGATTACTGCTGAAGCCCACTCTCCCTACTGTTTCTGTGCAGCTCACCAGGTCCATGCTGTTGTTTTGTGAATCACAAACATTGAACTTCCTGACACTGCAGCTTGTAAAACTTGAGCCAGAAAGGAATTGACTCAACAGCTGAGTGCATTGCCTTCTGCTTTTGGCACCCTTTACTGCTCCAGACCCTGAGGTCAGTTCTGGGAGTGCAGCCCCTACACAGACAGGATAAATGCTGTAATTGTACCCTCTTGTTCAGACCACTTAATAGCAGGCAAATGGCCACCAACTGTGCTTGCCCTCCACGAACCACATGGGGTGAAATTCAGCAGTTGCCTTCCATTCCCTTCTTTAGGAAGCAGTGCTAGGATAAGGGGCCAGAAGGCTGTACCAGAGAGGTCTGGCATGACAAAAGGACACCACTGTACTTTTGTTGTTTCTGCATTCCCACACTGTCTCCTTTTTCCTACTCCTATAACTGTTTCTCACCCTTTTGTCTTCCTCTTCACTTATTCTCTCTGCATCGCCTTTGGTCTGTGCCCTGACACCATGCCCTACCACAGGCCTGGCCTTACTTCTAACATGGGTGATCAGGGGTCGGGCATGGCAACTCTGACTGCCTAAATATAGTGGATGCACACCTGAGCCTTCTCTAGGCTAGTCTCTTGCAGCTTGGACTGAAGTTTTCATCTCTTTGCAAGAGATGACTGGTGCTCAGGTAAGTTTTGTAGATAGGACAAGTGGGGGCCACTTGTCAGATGCACATGAGACAGATGGGCATTGAGGCACATATGCCTAGCTGTTGGCCCTTGTGCTAGCTTTCAGTAAGTGATGAAAACTGAGACATACCCCTTGTCTTTAAGAGCAGGCAGGATGTGGCTGAGGCAGGCTGCA